CGCACGCCCACGCACGCACGCACGCACGTACGCACCCATGCACCCACACCCTCACCCCACAGTCACACCCCACACCCCATGCTCGACACCCCACACCGCACACCCCACAACTCACGCCCCACACTCCACACCCACCCACACACACACACAGAGACAGACAGACAGAGCAGACAGAGCAGACAGAGCAGACAGAGCAGACAGACAGAGCAGACAGACACAGACAGACAGACAGACAGACAGACAGACAGACAGACAGAGCAGACAGACAGAGCAGACAGACAGAGCAGACAGACAGACAGACAGACAGACAGACAGACAGACAGACAGACAGACAGAGCAGACAGAGCAGACAGAGCAGACAGAGCAGACAGACAGAGACAGAGACAGCGACACAGAGAGAGACAGAGACAGAGACAGAGAGACAGACAGACAGACAGACAGACAGGGAGCCAGGCAGACAGACAGACAGACAGACAGACAGACAGACAGGCAGGCAGGCAGGCAGACAGACAGAGACACACAGACACACAGACACACAGACACACAGACACACAGACACACAGACACACAGACACACAGACACACAGACACACAGACACACACACACACACGCAGAGACAGACAGACAGATAGACAGATAGACAGACGGACAGACAGACAGACAGACGGACAGACGGACAGACACAGACAAACAGACAGAGACACACAGACACACAGACACACAGACACACACACACACACAATCACACAATCACACAATCACACAATCACTCACTCACACAATTTCTCCCTCACACTCACACACACACACACGTTTGACCACAGTTGCATGTGCTTGAAGTCAAATGTTGGTCAAGACATCTTACTCAGCACTGCTTGTTGGAGGTGAACTAAGCATCGGTGAAGGTACTTTGTCCGGTGCTCGGTGCATATCCACAAGACGACGAGCTTGAAGCAAGTTACGGCCAACATCGGAGGCATATCAAGGTCGACATCGAGCTGCCTGAAGAAGACGAGGAAGTGAATGATCCGGCCAGCCATGTAGGCAGGAAGTGCACGGAAGTGCCGACGCTCAAAACCTCTCTGTATCTCGCTTCAAGACTCACTGGGTTGCACTGTACTCTGGACCACAGCCCGAGCAAACCCGAGTAAGCCCAAGCTCCCAGAGCAGCGTCGCTTGGACCACGGCTTCACGGTACGTTGCTCCATGAAGCCTTTTCCGGAAGCTTTGCGCTAGTGGCCAGGTCCGCGGGTGACTCGGCGCAACGATTGGGTTCACTAGTTGTGACGTCAGTTTTCGCTGGCCGTTTGTCGGAAAGCTAGTTCTGCGGTACAAGGCTGATTTTGCAATCAGGAACTTGTGGACATGCTATGCAGAAGCGCCGCAGCGATCGGAAAGCCAGGAAGTCATATGGTCACTCAGCCAACCCATGGACTTATGGAATCCTGACCCTGCCGCACCCTGCCATGCAAGCTTGCAAGATATCGATCCCGCCAAAGATCGCATCAGCGTAAGCAATGCTCAACCCTAACACATGTCAAGAGTAGTGGAGTTGGTGAGAATGCTGCCAGCGGTAGGGCGAGGCTCTGCCGACGAAGTGTCCTCATGCCAACCTCCTCTTGAGGATCGCGAGCCGGCGCCCTTCCAGCTTCGCAGTCTGGTGCTCTGGGGCTCGAAAATTTGAAGCGGTTTTCGACCCTTGACAAGGTCAAAGAACAGATTTGGAACCTGGTGAGCTCGCTTTGCTTGTGCATAATTCCATCGGATCTCAGATATGGTGAGCTGCAAACATGTATCCGAACTACGGTCGTGAAAAGCTTCGCACCAAGGCATGGACACGCATCGCTCGCCGCAGCCTTGAAGAACTTGTCGCTGCAGGGGCGGGCAGCTGTTGAGCCACGAGCGGAGTGCTCACACTGGTGCTAAGCAGCACTTGCCCAAAACGGATGCACACCGCGACCCGCGATTGCAACCTTGATTGTTTCGGTTCGACTGTGGCATCTTGGAGTCAGCCCTGGCAAGCACGCCAAGGGTGTCGACCAGCTCCAACTAATACTTCTCAATTCTCAAACTCTGCTTCGAGGGCTGATCGAACAAGTCAAGTGTCTTGCATTGGTTACGTTCGCGCAAAGTGAAAGCCTGTCTGTGTTTTTTTCACGGTCGCTCTTCTGTTGAAAATCCAGACCTACCGAACGGCTCTTTTTGCTCATTGCAGGCTGTGGTATTTGCTGTTCAAGCTGGACAGTGCCAGCACTGACGAGCAATGCAACAAAGTAAGGTCGACCCCCGAAAGCTTGAGTCCCTCACGCTGGTTAGGTTTGTGGCTTCCGCGTTGCGTGCATGCCTTTTATCTGCATGCCCGGTTGCCAACGAACTGGGAATGTCTCCTCCCTTGATTACCGACAACAGCATTCGATCTTGCAATGGAGTGGCGTCTCGAAGATGTCAACTCGTCTGTTGAGAGATGTAAGCAATAAATTGAAAGGCACAGGTTCCGTGATGATACTTGCCGTTGGTTTTAACTGGCATTGGTGTGGCCCCGGGCCTGCAACCACTGGCACATTGCCGACAGGCACATGGACCGTTGTTGCTGGCGATCCAAGTTGACAAACAACCTAGGAAGCCTTGGCGGGGAAGCATAGCTGAGAGGAGCGAAAGGGAGGTCTGGACGGACCAGAAGCTTAAATGCACCAAAAATCAGTAGCTATGTTCATGGATTGTGTCAAAGCTGCACAGACACTGTCGGAGAGTTGGTGCCACTGCAACCGACACGTGCACAAGATCCAAGATCCTGACTCGTTGGCACTCAGCCAAGGCACAGACTTGTCGCCTACACCAGGGTGGGCCTGCCCCTTAAAAGCGCGGGGTCTTTGGATGGATTTTGTTGCGGGGCCAGCATGAGCACTCTGCCACCATATGTCAAGGCCGAAGCAGACGATTGCTCGAAGAAAAGGCTGCGGGAGCACTTAGATATAGTCCGGGCTTTGCTGTTTGCATCTGAAAACTCCGGCTTCAAGACACACGTCCCCAGCATGACTTATGACATGTGCAGTGTGGCATGGTTTGCCTCGGCCGTCCTGTCAGATCGACCTCGTGCTCGACTCCCCTGGGAACTGCGACGTGCAGCACCTACGCCGGCGTATGGTCGTGCGAGAACAGTACAAAAACCAAATTCCAGAACCAAATGTTCCCATGCCCCTACTCTGTCAACCAGAGTCACGAGACTTTATCTTGTTTTGTCAAGTGTCAGTTGCCGCAAACAACTGGGACATGTAACCGCTCATCAGAGCTCGCTCAAAATGTGGAAGTGTAGAAAGCCATGTCCCGTCACATGTGCGAGGGTGTGCTTGACCAGTTAGCGGGTGTTTAGCAGGCTAGCAGGCTAGCAAGGTGGACGCTGGCTGTGTTGTTGCAGGTGTCTCGGCTGCATGCGATCATCAAATGCTGGAGAGGGCAGTGGCCTCGGTGACATAGCAGGCAGACTTGGGCAGACACGAGGGTGCAGCACCAACTCCTGAAGGCCAGATCCCAACACCTGGCTCGCCCGGATATATGATGAGAAGGTCGTGTCGTTCAAAGTGACACCGTTCATTTTGAGCCGATCGTTCTTCCTTCAGGGCATCGAGGGTGGCCCGGGCGCAGGGCCCGGTGGCGGGCACTCCGGGGGTGGCACTACCGTGGACGGCGAGATGGTGGACCCGATTTTAGGCCGCCAAAGAGAGCGAGAGAGCTGCCAGCTGCGTCTGCTGCGCCTGCGTTTCAGCGAGGCACGGCTCTCGAAACCGGCAGCGTGCCCCCTGCCCCTTTGGCTTCCTTGTCATGCCCCACATGCTCGTGTTTTTGATGCGTTTCACAATCGCGGTGTTTCAATGGCAGTGACGTGTAGTTATGTGTGTATGTCGTCCGGCGACCTCCTGCAATACTACTGTAGGTAAAACTTTCTAAAGCAATGCTGATGGTCCCTGCTCTGGTGCTAAAATCCCTGTGCGGGATGCTGCACAAATAGTCGTTGCTGTCGCTGGTTTCTTGTTATGCTGCCCCAGCACATAGCATCCACACACGTGTCTTCAACATGCGACGGGGGCAGCACTGACAGGTACTGCGGTTTGGAGTTCGGGAGATGTGGGTATTCGAGTCCACTGCTCAGAATTGTGAGCGAGCGTGCAAGCTGTCTGCCTGCAAAGGCTCTGTGTGCTTAAGGCGGGCACCCATGCACCTCCGCAGCCAGGCTGAAATGTCCCCGTCGTGATCTATGTATGTATGTATGTATGTCTATATATATATATATATTTATTTATTTATGTTTATATTTATATATACATTGACCAGTGGCTGTTGGCCACGTCTGGATATTCACGGAACTTCAGGCGTTTCGTTGCGATTGTCAGTTGCATGCTTTTCTCTTGCTGCGGTTCCACTAGTTGCTGCCCCGCCAGGATGCAGAAATAGCCTGCAACAGGGCTGCAGCAAACTCACAGGAGGACGCGTGACCCTAGAGAGTCCAAGCAGTGTTGCATGCAATCGAGATTCCGATACTCAATAGAGTGCTGTCGCGTCTGCGATTGGGAAGGGGTACTTTAGTTTCATTGTCGTGGCTTGTGCCCTCGTGTATGCACTTCTGCTTCTAGGGTTCGAGTTCAACGAGTAATGCAGCAAAAAAGACAGGGGCTAGCCTTTGCATGTTGGAAGAATCCAACATGTATATACTTTTCAATTAGAGTCTCTAGAGATACCTATCAGCCAGTGAAAACTCGACTCCAACACGGCAGCTCAGTTAAGCAGCTATCGACCATCGGCCAAGTCTTAGCGGGGATGCAACGAAGCTGAATCCCTCATCTCCGGCATCCACTCCGCAGCCAACACAGCAAGGGAATGCAAAGAATTCGCAGCCAGGGCAGGCAGAGTGAACGACAGTGTCCCATGTTTGCATGTGTCACGGCTTGGCATATCAAATTGCCCTGCAGAGGATCCGGCATTGATACGAACATTGAAGATTCCTAGCGTGCGGCTCAGACTTTCAGACAGCTAGCTCGAATCATGTGACGAACGCAATGTTGGATTGCTTATGATAGCTTGTCCGTCAACTTCTGGTGCCGAGCAATCAACTGAGGGACTTGAGGACAGATTACGGTGTGATGGTTCCTGCATGACAAGAGCATCCGCATGGCGCCCCGATTGAGGCAATGCTGTGGACTCGGCGCTCCAGCGCTGCCCTGACTGGTTCTCCATCGTGAGAGTGCCCTCCTCGTCTGACATTCCTGGCATGCAGCATGCTCCGTCCCTTACAGGGCCACGTTACGGACAAAGCAGGGATCCGACAATCCCTGATCCTCCCGTCCCGCGGAAGAAGCTGGCTGCAACTGTTGCCAAGGTTGTCTTAGAATGCCGGCTGGAGCCCGACGAGCCAGCCTGAATCTGCCTCAGACGCATTCACTGACATTTCTCGGCAGTCTCACCCGCTTACGTTAAGACTTAAGACTTTAAGTGTTGGCATGCGTCCTTCTGTGACCCACAATCTGCGCCGCCTCACATCATTTCCACACTGCCCCGATGAAGCCTCAAAGTCTTTCAGAACAGGCGTGGACTGCATCGAAACCCAGGATGAGTGCGGGCGGACTGTCTGGAGCCCAGCATCAAGCTGTCAGAGCCTTGTTTCCTTATTGCGGGCTTGAATGGCGGCATGCTACAGGCTGACATGGGTGTGTACTCAGTGGCTTCCAGTGCTGGTAAGACGGAGCGTTGATGGGCAAGCAGTTCGAAAGACTGCAAGGTTGGAAGACACGAAGCCTACACGTGTTGGGCCTAGCCGGCTAGGATGCCGGCGGTTGGAGCCTGCATGATGCGGCATTCTTCTTTTGCATGAATCCCGCAGCAAGGGTGGACCCGTAGACAGGCAGCGCAACACTAAGGTTGATCGCACAGCAAAAGTACGATATACACAGGATCCTTCGCGAGGCCAGAGGGTACCAGGAAACAGGGTCAGGCGGTGCAGAACGCTTTGAGTGTTGAACAACTGACACGTCACGTAGGGCACATGTTTGCGAGCCTGCCTGCAGATCAAAGTGGGCGGCACCGTTCGATTGCGCCTCTCGTCCAGGGCTCAATTCGAAGCGCCAAGCTGCGCGACGGGGAAATCATGTTGTGTATGAGAGCATGTGCTCAGAGCCAAACTCAGCGCCTCATTGCTTCTGTCTATGACTCGTCGAAATTGTCAGCAGTCTGCTCAGGAATGACCCGAAGCTGCTGGCACCTATCCTGGAGTACTTGGATAAGTGGCTTGTCAGCTCCTGGCGGTAGTCGTGAGCTTGCCAAGCCGGTGGAGAGCTGGTCGTTTAGCTTGAATTGAAAGTAGTTGGTTTTGTTCCAACACATTCTGTGTTTCTCGAGTGGTGGTGTTCGTCAAGACTGCCTGATCCTGGGCCTCCTCAGCCGTTGCACAACCTTGCTCGATGAGGCAGCGGCTTGCAATGCAAGAAGTCTACGAGAGCCGAGCACATGTGGCCCTTGCGCGATTACAGCTTTCGGCTTGTGTTGTGTAGATTTTCTGCTACTCATCACTGAATGAACCAAAGAGGTGCGAATTACTTCGAAACCTGACTTGCCCAGTGGGTGGACTTTAAACTTTTTGGCAAGAAGTGGATCTTTGATATAGGTTTTGGAGCTTAAACGACGGGAATGCAATCAAGCCTAGGGGGATGGGGAGGTTTGGAGGGAGGGTTCGTGACCGATCGTATTCGTGTTTGGCTCCGGGGCGCTCGCAAAATCACAACGCCCTATACCCTAAACTCCAGCGAACCCTAACTCCTTGTATGGTCGTTTTTGGGCCGGTCTAGGGTTTAAGGTTTTAGGGTTTACGGTATAGGAATCCGCCACTGCAAGACAGTATGAGATCAGATTCGTAGATTAGATTGTTACTAGTAATGCCATTGCTATTACTAGTACTATGGCTTGATTACCATTACTATTACTACTACGATTACAGCGACGCAAGCTCCGAGCCAGCCACCGTTCGAGGGTCTAGCTGCTTCGCGTGGCGACTTGGTCCAACAAGTTTAAACCTTAATTTGCTGCCTGGCGGGTGTCCAACGTAAAGGGGTTCACCGCCTGTCCCCTCCGGCCCCCTTCACCTGAACTTGAAGCGCGCTTCTTGCAAATGAGAGCATGTGTTGCAGGTATGGGATGTTGCCAAAGTAGTCGTGTGTTGAGTAGATGTACGGCATGGTTGAGCCTGGATTTTTTGACGTCGAATTGCGATTCAGTAAAAGCTTGCAAGTCTGTGAGACGCAGCAGAATCTGCACTTCATGCGTTTGATTTCGTGCCCCTATGCCGACAAAGACTACCACAAAGAAGGCAAGACCACAACTGACTGGCGCCCGGGAGCATGAGCAAGGAAGCCCCCAATCACAGGCCAGATTAGCATAAAGAAAGCCCGACTGTAGGAGTACAACCGTAAACGAGGTCCACAATCAAAACAAACGCATAAAAAGAAATCGGCTGTCATTCCGGTTGTTTGGAGTGTCAGTTGAAAAGAGTGTTGGAATACCTTTGGAGATCATCCGTCATGGCAAGCCAAGTATGGCCTCAGGAATTACAAAGCTTTGCTTCACCACGCCAAGCATAGGAAGCCATTTTGCTGTCGACAGGCGGCCTGGGAGTGAGATGACGAAGCAGGTTTCACCGTTTCACCTGGAGCAGAACTTGACTGGGAGTTTCAGCTGTTTGGGGCTTTTGTGCGAAAGTGCTAAGGCCCCAAACTCCAGGGCGATACATAGGCTGGAAGTTGTGCGAAAACCCCAGGGAGCTGAAAGGCCCATTCATGTCGCAGAGTGGATAGCTAAAGGGGCAGGAATACGTCTTCCAGGATGTGCCGACTTGCCATTGTTACGAATCTGCAGCTTAGTTTCTTGTCATGTGTTACGTCATGGGTAGAAAGGAGGCCTGCCGGATGCCCTTTGACATCTCAAGTGGCGCAGCCATGCCGTCGCCGTGCCTTCCGTGATTTGCAGAAAGCGCTCTGGAGGCTCGGCTGGCCAGCTAACTGGTGCGCTAGTCACTGTCTTCCCGTCATTTAGAAGCTTTGTACCCTCTTTCTACGGTTCTAGCCACTCTGTCAGGTTTGGTGATGCGGGGCTCAGAGCACCGCTCGCCGGCCTCGCTCCCAGAGACTTTCGAAAGAAAAGACAGTGCTTTCTGGGCTGGGCCCTGGCTTTTTGGGCCTCGAACAGAAGTGACCTGACTTCAGGAAGTGGAATGAAGGCTGTCAGAAGCGTCGACGGAAGCGTCAGGGTCAGAGGGAGGGCGGGACGGACTTGAAAGGGAGCTAATCGGATGAAGTCTCCGCGGCGTATGAATTAGGAGTTTGTTTTACAGAGCGAAAAAAGATGTACGGCTCGAAAGTTTTCACCCAGCCCGCGCCGTTTTGGCTAGAAGTGAAGGAAGTCAAGCAAGGAGTTGGTTCGAACTTCAGGATTTTTTTTGCGTCGGCTTGGACCTGCAGAGCCTAACCCGTGCGACGGATAGGTGCACGCAATTTCAGCGATAGGAACTTGCGCACTCAGCCACATTATTAGACGTGCAGTCGCAGAAGATAACCCTGTTTTATCGATGCAATCATTTTGGACGAATGTTCTGCTATGTGGCTATGTGGTTAGCGGTTAGCGAACTAGAGTAACTAGAAATTCTAGCTTATGAACTCTATACCATGATCGAAGCCAATGGATGTTGCGGATGTGAAGGATGTGAGGTTAGCTTTCGGTGGCGTTCGCAGAGACAGTAAGGCTGAGACATGCTGTGTCAATGCAACGGACAACGTTTCACATCCGTGTCGGAAAGATTAGCCCATGCCGTGGTTGACGCTGGGGCTGGACCATTTGCTTTTCTTGTACGTGCCTTCTGCATGCTTCTTGGCCGCATTCTGGTTGTGCACTTGCCATGTGATTGCCTAGTAGACAGACCCAACAGCATGTTGAGAGCACTTCTTGTCCAAGTTCAAGCCTGCGGCTCTCACCTAGTGGGCATGAACAAGCACGATGCAGCTACTACCCAAGGACCATCACAGTATCCCGCAGGCACAGGCCTCCTGATGGCGGCCTTCGCCTCCCAGCTGTTGGCAACCCCGCAGTCGCCCGGCACTTCAGTTGGCAGCATACAAATGTCGTCACTCCTCATCGCATCAGCGCCCGCGAAACAGTCGGGAATAGCTTCAAGAGATACTTCGCCGGTTTCATCACGAATGCCTTGCCCAGAAACAGAGGGGATGTTCTGTGGGTCCTGACAGCGATGCTGATCCTGAGGTATTTGCAGCAAGAGCTGTGGAGATGTGCGCTCTCATATTGAGCTTTGACTGCATTGCCTGGGCTCGCAGGGGTGACATTCTTGCTGGATCCTCGAGTTGCTCCTCCACCTTGGGGCGCGTCGTGGCAACGTCTCCCCTGCAGGTGACTTCCAGGGGGACTCAGACAACGATTGCATCAGACTGTTTTGCGGGGACCGCCTTCCTCCCGACATTGCAAGCGAATTTGTGGAAGTAGCCGGGCTGCAGGGGTAGCCGCGTGCTCACTGCACGCCACAGGAGGCAATTCTGAATTTGCAGTGTAATCGGTAAATGTTGCAGGAACGGTCGAGTGCTTCGGCAGTGATTTTGTGTCGGCGGCCAGGGTCCTTCAACGGCACAAGGGTTGTTTCCAAAGTCCTTTCCAACCAGCCCATTGTTTACCCGCTAGCCAGCATGGCATTCGTACTTTCTTGCCCTCAGGGTGCTGCTAGAATCTGCTAGAAGCTCAGTCCGGCCAAAGCCAGTTGCTATGGGCCAGTGCCTCCGGTGGCAGCTGCCGCAGGATCTTGCGACAACATGCGACAGAAACAGCACGGGACCACCCTTTGGAAGAGCTTTGCTGCTTCATGTTCAATTTTCCGGCAGTGGCAGCGGAGTCGGAGCCCTTGCAGCTCGCGCAGTTGAAGCCACATCAGCATCATAAGCCAACGCTTTGAAAGCCCGTGGATGCCAGGGCGAGAGCCTCGTAAGCTCCACAAAGGTCGACTCAACACATGGCTTCTGGGAATGTACGAGCTCGTCTTCTGATGCAGTCAAGTTCTTTCAGGAGCCTTGAGCGAGTGCGCTCGTTCCGCTGACTTCGACTAGACGGCAGGGTGAAGGAAAAGAAACGTCCCGCAGTTGACTGACCATCAGGAGACCTCAGCTTTGCGACTCGTCGGCCGATTGCGTCGCGGCGGTGAGGCAGAGGCAGCCTTTGGTCGTTTCGGGATGTTTCGGGTTTTCGTGTGGTCGCTTGCAGCGCAGCACTCGCCAGGCCGAGCTGGAGCTGGCTTTTCGTGGCACCGACCGTATTGCGAACTGGTGCCTTGTTCTGAACTGACCGGGCAACTGCCTTCCGACAAGGCAGGTCCACTATAATCTGACTAGCCGCTAGCCTGTGGCGCTTATGAGATCCGACGGCCGAGAAATTACACCAACCGTTGCAGTTGGCACTGCCATGCGCTGCCCTGTGCGGTGACTGAATTCGATGTTGGTAATTACGGCGTTTGTATGCGGCCTTTTATTGGAATCTTTCGTGAGGGCCGCCGCTTAGGTTTTGGATGTCGCGGATAAATTGCCACGAAAGATAATCTTGACTCAGGTACTCCGCTATAGTTTTTTGGTTTAAACGCTTGTCCTAGGCTCACGAACTTCACGACGTCGCTGGTGCCTTGCGAAGTTGGCAGCCAGGCATCGTGCGTGACCTGCCATGTCTCGGATGCTTTTAAACATGGGCCGTATCATTTGAGTGAGCTTTGCCTGCTTGTCTTCAGCTTAGCACCTAACAGTGCAAGAGTCCCTACTGACGGTTGTTATGATGCTGATCACGAGAGTCTCGGAGAGGCTGGCATGGTCCACCAAGGCTTCCAGGCTCGGGGGTTTGCTTTTGTCGCGTCATTCGAGTTGTGTGTGGTCGAGTCGTTGCTCTGCCTGTCAGAAAGCCTATCTTAGTCTTCGAACGGTGCTGCTGGACAAGATCCGCGACTGCTTGAAAGCAGCTCAGTTGCTTTTTGCTGGTATACATGCCAAGCTTTCAGGGTGCATTTGTCATGCGCCCAGTTGCTGTGGCATTGGAGTGCGTGCGGACTTGGAAGCTTCAGACGTCTTGCCAAAGGAACATGGCCTGACCCAACGAGCTTCCCTGCTGTTGCGCGTCACGGGGCACAGTCTCGGTGGTGCGCTGGCCATGCTGCAGCTAAGCTCCAGTTCAACACGGCTCGTGCTTGATAAGACTATCAGAGGTAACTGTCAACTGCAGCTTCAACGCGTCTCAGGACAGGGTGCATTAGGGTGCCTTGTGACTGAGGTGTGCCTACGATTTTGCGCACAACTACGGTTGGGAAGCTTGGCTCCTGGCCACGACTGGACTGGAGAGCAACGAAAGCAAATTGAAAGGTCAACAGGGTAGGAGCTACTGAGCTACGTGGGCTCAGCGAAGAACCGACGCAGACACAAGCTCATAATAACGTGTCCCAATGCAAGGTGTGTGACCTGGGGGACCCCGCGTTTGGGCGATGCAGCTTTCGCGGCAGCCTTTCAGAGGCTAGTTCCACGCATGGCGCGATTCATCAACAAGATGGAGTCTTGGCGGATTCGTGCAAATTCAGCATCATGGCTTAGCGGCTTACTTGTTGTTCTTTGTTCCTCGCCGGTCTTGGGGTGGCGGGGCTAATTGGCCACTTGTGATGCCGCGGTGTCCGCAGGAGTGCTGACTGCAGAAGTGAGGTTGGTTGCCGGTGCAACCTGCTTGGGATTGCCGGGTCTCGTGTAATGACGGGGTCGTGAGTCGTGCTTGAGGGCAAACTAATGCCTCCGGTTCAACCGCTTGATAGAGCCACAGGTTGCACCTTGTAGATTGCCACGCCGCCTGATTCATAGAGATGCCCCAGGCCCCCATCTCATAGAATGAAAAGGCTTGGCCCACCCATAGACAGCAGCGGGATTCTTTCACTGGGCAAGACGCACGGGGACACATGGAGTAGTACAAGTATGAACTGGAGAGTCGGTCGCGCGAAGCTATATGCATATTGTCAATGAGTTGCTTGTTCTGCTGACAAGGATGTGGTGGCCTGCTTGCCTGCCAACCCCAAAGATCCGAACGATAACAATAGAAAGGCGGCTTGGGCATGCACGAAAGAAGCCGTCTTGCAGTTGGTCGGTAATGAGGCAGACATGAAGCTCGGGTACATGGCTGGGTTGCAATGTGTGCTACCCAAAAATCTCAAAACATGTAATACAACTCTGCATGACCCTAGGTGAGCACCGTTCTATCCACTGCCTTCTCACCGCTGCAAAAGGCCATGCAGGCTCATGATTATAGGCAGCCTTGCCAGCACTTCTCAAGTGTGGGGGAAGCACCGGGGCTCCCTAGTTGCTCGTGCAGGTCAATCAATGTTCGATAGTTTGTCTGTTGTAGATCTTGCTAGAGCTACGTGGAACATTGTGCCCCAATGCAAGGCATGTCTGTACCGCGGTCATACTGGACCCCACCACAAGCAAGTCGCTCCACATGATGTCCCTGGACTGGGCGATGCTGGTTGACGGGGGGGAGTAGCAGATGTTCAGGAGGACTCGGGGGAACGTGCTTGCTCGAACTGTGGTGGCTCTTTCTACTCGTAGACACTGATTTGTGCGGCAAGTGCACGCATACAATCTACAAGAGATATTAAATTGAACTAATTGAACTCAGGATTGCTGGGATGGAGGTGGCGGCACTGGGGCGCGAGGGACAGTCCGGAAGCTTGGGTCGGTTTGAGTTGGAATTGGAGAGGAGGCGTGAAAGCAAGGGTGCGAAGCCAAGTCCGGGCAATCGGCCAAGTTCTTCCAGACAGTTGATGGGGAAAGCTTTGGAATGTCGAAGAGGTTCTCCAGACGGGCTTGGGGCAACAGCTCCCTGCTGTGGAAGATAATTGAAGTACCTCCCTGGTTCTTGCTTTGGCGTCTTCTGCACAACGCCACCAAGGAAGCGTAGCAGAACATGTTGCCCGACCTCACTTCATCCCCTGCTATGTGGCGACCCGACTGGAACATCAGGGAACTGGAAAGCGCGAACGGCGGATTCAGTTTTTGGACGAAGCACGCTACGACATTTTGCGACACGGATCTGGATTGTCTGCGGTCTTTTCTTGTAGCACGAGTGCACGTGCGAGAGCACGGGCCAGCATCTCCTTTTGAAGCAGTTGTATTTGGGGTTGTGTGGCCGTGTGCTGGACTGTATATCTCTGCTCAAAGGCGCTAACTGGCACAGTGCACAGCTCCAACCGCTCGACCCGACACCCTTTGCTGCCAGTTTGTCCTCTAGAGGAACATCTGGCCGCGGCGATCGCTGCGCAAGCAGCTGCGTTCGAGGCAATAGCACACAAATGAGGGACGCACGGATAGCCATGGGTGCTCTACCGCATAAGGCCGCAAGAATTCTGCTATGGAGTCGCTGCGAGCCGAATAGACATTTGCCATTGCAGCGTCGGCAGTTGTCTGATCGAATATCTAGCGCCAACGAGTCGGCAATAGCCTTCTTGTTGTACTTAGATCTGACGTGGACCTGACCACTAGTGCTTTTCCTCCTAGCCTTGCCAAGCGACACGTCTCCGAGGCGCAGTCTGAAAATGCTTGGGCCACTCTCCCATCTGTTGGAACCTGGCTCAACCCACTGCCCTGGGAGGCGGTTGGGGAGATGGAAGCTTGACGGTTGTGGATTCATCGCCTACGAAGAGTGTTGTTGCATTGAATGTTGTCCGTTTATTGTCTCTGTAACTTCTGCCCGTACCGGTCTGATCCGCACTGTCCGAAGTTGCAGCCGAAATCTGATACTTGCTGAAGCAGTTCAGAGTTCGTCGCCATCTCAACTTCGTAAGCATGGAAGGCCAGCGAGGTTGCAGAAAACGGCGGAGGCAAGTCAGAGCTCCTTCACCTCGCAAGTTCTATGGCGATGTGACCGGGTGGGGTTGAATGAGTGGAATCATCGACATAACCAGTCGAGTTTCTGCAAGCAGCCAAGGAGCACTGCCTTTGACACACGCGAGTTTCTCAACTACGGCTCCTCCTTGCTCTCGGACTTTCGTGGAAGGGGTCCTCGAGTGCTGGTCGACCTTCATGACAAGCTAGGCCTGACCGGTGCGAGAATCTGCTAGAACAGCTCTTCTTCTGTTAGTATCAGCTATCCGACTCGGCCGTCTTGTCAAGTCTCCCCGGTTTGTCAATGCTTGGCATTTGGAGGTGCTGGCATGGAGGTGAAGTGTGTTTGTAGCATGTGCGACATCTGGACAGCAATATGTTGAGCGAGTTGCAACAGTGGAGGCAGCTACACGAAGAAACAGCTGGAAGCGATGGGAGTTGAATCGAACAAAATCGCGAGACTCGGCAGGCATGCTTTGAGATCGTTTCGGGTTCTTGGTGACATCTACGGCGACAATCTGACGACAGTCTAGAGTCTAGGTTCTAGGCTAGGTAGGGGCCAGGGATTAATTGTCGGGCTTCCGTCGAGCGTTTCAACCTTTCATGTTGATAGCCGTCTCGACTTGCCTCTTTGCTTTGCAGAGCCAAGGAAAGTACCCCTGGAAACTGTCTTGAGATCCGGCCCGGAACTGCTTCCGAGCTGCACAGTGTGGCTCTTGACATGATATCTTCAATGTCGTCTTTGCAGCGGCGCCGAGGCTTAACACGGAAGCCGGTCAAGCTCTACTGAGGCAATGGATCCCTTCCCCCCCTCCCTCCCTCCTTCCCTCCCTCCCCGCTTCCTGCCCCCCTCCACAGGCAGGGCCAGGAGCAACTGCTCACGATGCTCCCCATGCTGACGTTCGCTGCGCAGAAAGACGGCCAGTCGCAAGCCTCCAAGCAGGCCTGCATCAAGATTGGATTGGATGGTTTTGGCAGAGCTCTGCAGGGTCCCGTCCTGGCCATGTGTGACTAATCAGTAACACCAGGTTATTTCATGATATTTCTTTGCATGTGTGCATGCTTGGAGTGCGGGGCCGGTGGGGGGCGGCTAGGTGGATGGCTGGGCGGGTGGGGTTGACCGTTCGTTATGAATTGAGGTGCCAAGTTTTGGCCCACACAGGCCAGATGATGTCAATGTTTCCAGACCTCGGAGAAAGTTATTTGCGATGCCGATACCCCTGACATCCCCATAGAAAAGGCCGGGCCGTTGTGAAACGGGGAGGACGTGCGCACGAGCTAATACAGGCTGAGCATGCCCGGAATAGTAGGGAAGCCCACAAAAGCGATCTATGGTCATGCTTGGGAACTCAGAACTCGACTGGGGTTCACTGAACGATCCTTCAGCGTCCCGTAAGAATCATCTCCAACCCAGAATGACACCGCAGCGCCAGAAAGGTAGTGCAAGCACAACTACCCCGGACAATTCCCAGACTTTTGACGCCCGTGTTCCAGAGATGGGCCAGCCGCTTGCTGTACCTCGGAGAAAAGCCATTTATCCCAACACCCACATTGATTTTCCTTGCGGCGGAGAAGCATTCATCTAGCTGCTTGGCACATCGTCTGCAACCTTGGCATTGGAATCACGGCATGAACCCGCATGATGGAACCAAGTCCGGAAAAAATCGTTCCCACCACAGCCCCGATCGCGGTGCCAGAACTGGTGATGCAAGTACTGGCAAGCCTCCTTATTGGCTGGTTGCTGACCCATGCGTTTCCCCATTCATCCCAACGCTCACCAATGACTTTGCCGGATCTCGAAAAGACAATTTCGCGGCGTGCGCTGCCTGGCTTCCTTTTCTGAGGATCTCGTCGCGTTCCGTACTGGTGTCGCTCTATTCCCGGAGTTTCGCATGCCCCGGCGCGCCCTGTGTCTGTGTGTTCACATGCTGGGCAGCGAGACAGCCAGACAGAGACAGGCATACGGCGGCTTCGTGTCTCGATGACGAACCGTGGTAGTTGGAAGCATTGAAATCGGGGGCAAGCTTCGCAACCACGAGCCTCCCACTAGCATAAATGCGACGGCGATAGATGAGTGTGCAAAAAGGGGTGGAGATGATTTTGTCACGGCAGAGAACCAATATCGCGCTGAAGTTGTTTTCCATGTGAACCACGAGTTGGGGGGTGTGATTGTGAAATGCAGCAGCTCCCACGAAGAAAAACGAAAATGCATCCAAAATGCGGTTGCAGGTCAGGCTTCCTGCTTTGTGTTTTGATTCGGCCTTCCAACGCGGGTTGTCACAAAGGTTTTGTCACTACACTAACACGTCTGTTGTACTGTCATGATATTGCTCATGTTCGGCCTTGCAAGGTGTTCGCAGCGTGTGTGTGTGTGTCTGTTTGTTTTGTGTGTGTGTATGTGTGTGTGTGTGTGGGTGTGGGTGTGTGTGGGTGTGTGTGTGTGTGTGTGTGTGTGTGTGTGGGGGTGGGTGGGGGGGTGGGTGGGTGGGTGGGCTTGCGGTTCCAGACAATGCTGCATGGAAGCGCCAAGTTCTGAAGTGCTACATCTACGCTCAATATTGGATCGGTGATGTGGCTTCTTGACAATCCTTGTGCGGCTAAGATCGGCAAAGTACAGTTTCTGAAACTGGCCGCATTCGGCGTGTCTTTCTCTGGGGTCGCTATGCAGACTGCCACCGCATGTACATGCGGCTTTGTACTCTGTCCAAGTAGTAAGGTAAGGAGCAATAATGCTCCACGCAGGACCTGTTAGGACCGGCATCTTGAAGTACACGCTTTAGGTCTTCAGGAAACTGCAAGATATCCGACAAAACTTTGGCAGTTCCTATATGAAGACCAGGACCCTGATCTCTCCGATTGGTGTTGCCGACCGGGCTGCCTCCTCTAATGATTCCAACAATCACCCTACACCCGTGAGCATTCGGGTGAGCAATTTAATGAAACACTTTAGGTGAGCAAGCGTACTTGCCAATGCAGCTTTTGGTGGCAATCCTCGCCCAGGTTCAAATCGTTTAAGGACATATAGCGAGTAATGTGCAGGTAACACCCCGAGACATACTGACAGACACCCGTCCCTCCTGCCATCCACGCGCCCAGCCGTCTATCCATGCAGTGCTTTCGAATGCCGGGTGCATGCAGCAACGTGACATACAGGTAGCATGACTCCATGACCTCACCTTCTTGTCTGTGTGTTTCCAGCCCCTGCAGATCTTGATGCAGATGGAAAGGAACGGACTCTCGGCAGATCAACGAGTTCCCTTGATTGGCCCTTGTCGCACTTTCCTTGCGCTCACAGCTCCGCACAGTCCCTCCAACAGGTCAGGGTCCCTTCCACTGCATCCGTGCATGTCTTGGCTGGTGTCCTTCTGTTCACCGAGGTGTTGCTTCAAAGCTGCTCGCCTGGAGCCGGGCGAAGGTGAAGCGGGCAGAGGGAACGGGGACAGAATTGCCAATACTTCGGAGCAGCTGAGTGAGGGTGTGAACCGGGCCTGCACGAGAACTCCTTGGTCTGGGGAAGCATGTTTTTCAGTCTAACATGGGCTGCACTTTCGGGGCAGATGATCTCTCGGAAACCCTGCCGGCTTTTTGGGCATCTTGAGGCCCCTTGAAACTACAAGCAGTTGAGACTCAACAACTCATCTGACCGTGCAAAATCTTCGGAACCTTCGAAACCGCGTATTAGCCGAACAGCTTTGCCCGGGCTCCGGGCATTTTCTTATGCCATGGCTGGAGCCTTCCCTACCAGCACACAGGTTCGGGATGCGGAGACCGATCCAGCAACTGGGTAGCCAGATGGTTCCTGATTCGCGAAAGGACACACGACAAATCATAAGTTCGAGGGCATGACCCGGTTTCGTACACTTCCGCTGCACCCCCGCCTTAGGAATTGCTGCGAAACTGCCTGGCTTCCTTCAACATCTCGAACTTGGCGGACCACGAGATTGCATACAGCGACACGTGCCAGTGCGCTGCCCCGTGTAGCCCAACTGTTGTCCAGCACTATTTCGTCCAGATCCAACATTCCCGACCTGCGAAGCTGCGGTGTTGAAAGGCCTGTCTTTACCTGTCGTTCCAGGACATCAGTTCGCAAATCTACAGCGCAAACGCGGCTCGCCTTCGCCTCCTGTCTGAAAATGGGTGTCGTAAGGGTTCAGCACCCCAGCGCGAAAGGGTAGCTGTGACTGTGACTTGGTTTGGACTTCAGGCCTATCCTGAATCACTGCTGCTGCCACCGCAACCGCAACTGCTACTCCACCTACTACTCCACCTACTACTCCACCACCTACTACTACTACTACTACTACTACTACTACTACTACTACTACCTACTACCTACTACCTACTACCTACTACCTACTACCTACTACCTACTACCTACTACCTACTACCTTCTACCTTCTACCTTCTACCTAC